GTTGGATAAGTTTGTCATCGTGTACCTCGATGACATACTTATTTTTAGTAAGACTGTCGAGGAGCATGTTGCACATCTGGACAAAGTCCTCAGTCTCCTGCGACAACACAAGTTCAAGATCAACGGTGAGAAGTGCGAGTTTGGCCGCACCCGTATCTTGTACTTGGGTCATGAGATCTCCGCGGAAGGGTTGAAGCCCGATGACGCGAAGGTGGCCAGCATTCGTGATTGGCCACGTCCTCAGTCTGTGACTGCGATGAGATCTATCTTGGGAATGACAAGCTACTACAGGACTTTCGTCAAGAACTATAGCATAGTGGTCGCTCCTTTGACTGATCTGACCCGCCTTGACACCCCGTGGGAGTGGACAGATGAGTGCGAGGCTGCTTTTAGACATCTGAAGCATGCGTTGACGCACTACGAGGTCTTGAAACTTCCTGATCCTGACAAGTCGTTCATAGTCACTACGAATGCCAGCCAATATGGCATTGGCGGCGTACTCGCGCAGCAGGAGTGGCCAAAGTTGAGGCCAGTAGAGTACATGTCCAAGAAAATGTTGTCTCAGAAGTTGGCTAAGTCCACTTATGAGAAGGAACTCTATGCCGTATACAAGGCTCTCACCCATTGGAGACACTATCTCCTTGGGAGGTTCTTCATCCTCAGGACTGATCATCAGACCCTGACAAGTTGTTCATAGTCACTACGGATCCCAGCCATTATGGCATTGGCGACGTACTCGCACAAAAGGAGGGGGCAAAGTTGAGGCCAGTAGAGTACATGTCCAAGAAAATGTCGTCTCAGAAGTTGGCTAAGTCCACTTATGAGAAGGAACTTTATGTCGTATACAAGGCTCTCACCCATTGGAGACACTATCTCCTTGGGAGGTTCTTCATCCTCAGGACTGATCATCAGACCCTGAGATGGATGAGAACCCAGCTGGTACTCTCTAACGCTCTCAAGCGTTGGATCGAAGTCATTGAGTAATATGACTTTGACCCTCAGTATCTCAAAGGGGAGTACAACAAGGTTGTTGATGCCTTGTCGCGCATACCGGACTTCTCAGGTGCGCTGATTACTGAGTTTGATCTGACGGACAATGTTACTCGATCTTTGGTGGAAGCCTATCGCGAGGACCAGTTTATGTCTGAGATGATACGCAGACTTGAGGCGAAGGATAAAAAGACTTCCGCCGAGTTTGAATTGGTCAATGGCTTGCTGTTCCTGGAGAAGGCAGGGAATAAACGCTTGTGTGTTCCAAATAGCGAGTCTTTGCGTAGTTTGTTTTTAGGCGAGTGTCATGATTCCACCGGCCATTTTGGGTAGAAGAAGACCGCATCCAACTTGCTGCATCGGTTCTGGTGGCCCACGATGATGCGAGATGCTCAGCTGTACGTGGAGACTTGTCAAGTTTGTCAACGGGACAAGCCACGTACTCAGGCTCCTCTTGGGCTTCTGAAGCCCCTTCCGATTCCGGAACGGCCTGGTGAGAGTTTGTCCATGGATTTCATGGATACTCTGATCACCAGCAAGAGTGGGATGCGTCACATCTTCATCATCGTGGATAGATTTAGTAAGTATGCTAGGTTAATAGCCATGCCGGAAACAGCAAAGACGGAGTACGTGATTAGAATGTTTAAAAAAAACTGTACAATCATACTCGACTTATTCACACTTCATCATGCTTGCAAACAGCGATACAGCGAACTGGCGACATGCGCCCACACAGTACTCAAAGATATCGTAACTAGATACGAGTTCTCTTCCAACTGGCTATGGAGACTGTGCGCCCATACAACTCAATGTTCACACTCGAGATCACCCTGGATGTCCCACACGCGACACTCACTGTTCGTACACAACACACACACACTAGGCTACGGCTATGGCAGCGCTAGCTGCCACTACCCTATCGCTACACTACACTTCTCTGCCCACTTCGTCTTCGGGCACACTGCAGACCTCCTCGCACAAGCTGCTGAGGCAGCGCTTCCACATGGCATCCGCAGGAATGAATGAATGGCTGGACGCAGCCTCTTGATTTATACTTTTGCGCTGCGTTGCTCTGCCCTGTATCCCTGGCCCATGGTGCACACAGTCCCCCCCGTGGTACTTGCTGGACCGGACTGGTACTTTCTAGACTCTCCCTTGACTGCATGGCGACGACCCTACGACGCAGTGCAGTTGCACTGGGGTCCTGCTGTTTGACCTCGTCACTTGTCCCCGTCTACAACGTGGGCTTGCTTTAGTCACACCACTTGGCCACTTGCCTGCACCACTTGGCCACTTGCCTGCACCACTTGACCACTTGCCGACCTTCTAGAAGGACTGCAGCTAGACTTCTTATCTACAGGTCTACAGATCGAATCCTAGCTACCTATAGACCTACGACAGACCTAATTACCACTGGCGGTTCTACTGGTCACAGGTTCAATTCTTCGAGTTGACATAGGTATTGTACACAGGTAAGTTGGGGAACTAGGGATCGAGCCCTGGGATCTGCATCAGCTACTTCGAACTGGTGAATACCGTTTCACTCCCGCCAGCCTAGATTCGAGGTCCTCCGAGAAATTTTCAATCCAAGGCAGGACCTTTACCTCGCCGTTGTCTCTCGTAGGCCCGCACTATATCGGGAGCTGTCTCTAGAAGTTCAGATCTCGTAAACCAGCGGTCGTCTTCCGGTTCTTGATAACTAAAATGAACCTTGTACTGTTTCTGCGGACGACTCCTACCTCCGGTTCTGAAGACATCTTCAACCACTATACCATCAATGTCATATCTTCCATCCATATCTGGTGGGATCATCGATCTACGGGATGGAAACTGATCACTTGTTTGACAAGGTAATAACTTTGATRCATGGAAAACTGGGTAAGTGTGGAGGTGTGTTGGGAGTTCTATAGTGTAGGACGGTCCGTCTTCGTCGCCCTTGACTTCTAAGACTGGCCACGGTCCTCTATAGGTGGGCAGTAACTTCTGCGAGATGTTCTCCCCAGGTGTAAACTCTTTAGAACTAACCCAGACTAAGTCGCCTACTTGAAACTGTGAGGGGCGACGATGTTTATTCGCTTGTTCTATCATCCTATGCAGGGCTTTCCTGAGGTTTTCTACAACAGTAGCTAGTTCTTTTTCGTGTTGTACAGCAAACTCCCTGGTCCCGGGCGGCAATCTCTGAATCTGATCCCGGTTAAGTCCCTCAAACGGTTTGCGCGATCTAAAGGACTTGTGCAGTTCGTTGGGAGTGCGGCAGGTGGCTAGATGCACGCTGTTATTGTACGCACTAGCTACTTTAGGCAACATCTCATCCCAGTTAATCTGATCTGGCCTAATATACATGCGCAAAACTTGCTGCAGGATCTTGTTCATTTGCCCTGTCTGACCGTTAGTCTCTGGATAGCGGTCGGACGACATCAACAACTTAGATCCGTATACTCCCATGAGTTCTTGCCAGTTCTGGCTAGTAAAGCGACTATCTCTATCGCTAACTATAGACAGCGGGATTCCATTCTCACTAACCCAACAGTCAAAGAACCTCTGTATGACAAAATCAGTACGCGCCTCAGAAGGCAAAGGAACAAAAACTGGATACTTGCTAAAGCGGTCAACTATGACCATGACTTGGCTCTTGCCATGCCTGCTCTTGACTTGAGTGTCCATGAAATCTATTGACACCGAGTCTCCTGGCTGATCCGGAATGGGCAAGGGTCTGAGAAGACCTAACGGGGCACGCGTAGAAGACTTGTTACGCTGACAGACCTTACAACTGCGAACATACTCTACGCAGTCATTCTTCATCCCTGGCCAGGTATACGCGCGCATCAGATTGGCCCAAGTCTTTTGCCAACCGAAATGACCCTCTGTGTCGTGACATTCCCCCAGAATCAGACTACGAATCTCTTCGCTATTGGGGATGCACAGCCGGTCCAAGACATTAGTCTTCTCGAAGAGTAACCCTTCAGTAGTGCGATAGTTCGGCTCGGTCTCTGGGGCCTCCTTGACTTTCTTAAGGAGCTCACCATAGATAGGGTCCTGCGCGTAGGCTTCTCTAACCTGCTGCTGCAGATCCTTTCCTATATCGAGGTAATGTACTATTGCCCCAAAATAATCAGCTCTCCTACTCAGAGCATCCGCAACTACGTTGTACTTCCCTTTGACAGGCTTGAGCTCAAAGTCGTACTGATCTATCTCTGCGGCCCACCTAGTAAGCTTAGCTGTCATCTTGGCTTGCGTTTTTAACCATCGTAACGTTTCATGGTCGGAATAGACTTTGAAGTGCCTCCCAAGCAAGTAGTGCTTCAAGTGGTCTAAAGCTTGCCTGAGAGCGTAGGGTTCCCTCTCGTAGGTAGATGTCGCGACCTTCTCTGAAGGCATCCTGGCGGACATGAACTYTACGGGTCTATAGCCATTGCCATCGTCTTGCTGTAACACTGCGCCTATGTCGTACTGGCTAGCATCCGTAGTAACGACAAAAGGCAAGGACGGATCGGTGACTTTTTAAGGACTGGATACTCTATTAATGCCTGCTTTAACTTCTTCATGGCAGACGTGCAGTCCTTATCCCACTTCCATATGGTCTCTTTCCTCAGCAATCTGCGAAGGGGCGCAGCGATCGTGGAGAAGTTCCTCACAAACTTCCTGTAGTAATTAGCTAAGCCCAGGAACGAGCGCAACTCTGTCAGCGTACATGGCGTGGGCCAATCTCTAATCGCTGCGATCTTTCTATCCTTTGGCTTAACGCCATCTCCGTCTAAGACGTGGCCTAAATACAAAACTTGGGTCTTCGCCCAATCGCACTTCTTTGCATTGATCTTGAAGTTAGCTTCCCTCAGCTTCTCCAAGACCTACCTGAGATGACCCTGGTGCTCTTCGAGGGTCCGACTAAACACTAGGATGTCATCTAGGTAAACTACAACAAATTTGTCTAACCACGGCCTAAACAAATCGTTCATACAGCGCTGGAATGTAGTTGGCGCATTGGTTAGTCCAAAGGGCATCACTATAAACTCGTAATGCCCGTACCTAGTCCGGAAGGCTGTCTTATAATGATCATCAGGGTGTACCTCTATCTGATGCTATCCGGACTTTAAATCTATCTTAGAAAAATACTTGGCCCCGTGCACTCGGTCTAAGAGATCGTCTATCCTCGGCAGTGGCTCAACATTTTTCACTGTAATAGCATTCAGACCCCTATAGTCTATGCACATTCTCAGCTCTCCCTCTTTCTTAGGAACAAAGAGGACAGGTGCTCCGAAAGAGGACGAACTGGGCCTAATCCAACCCTTCTCGAGGAGCTCGTCTAACTGCTTGCGAAGCTCCTCTAACTCCCGTGGGGACATCCTATATACAGCGCCCTTAGGAGTCCTACTGTCAGGCTCTATCTCAATACGGTGCTGGATGGGCCGCGGTACCACTCCTATCGGCGGCTCGGTTAGGTCCTTGAACTCTTCCAGCAGCTTGGCAATCGCAGGGTCCATCGGTTTTTCTTCCGTAGGCTCAGTCACTGGCTTCACATAGGCAACAAAGACCTTCTCATTCAATTTCTCCTTCTTCACTAATCTGGCGAACGCGGGGGCACTAAGGCAGCAGTGCGCCAAGGAATTCTCTACCCCTGACTTATGGAACAGGCGTGCAGTCTTAGCCTCGCCTGAGGAACTAGGGAGCCTACACTCGTGCTCCTTCAAATGGAGCGTGGCCCCGGCTGCCTCTCCCCAATCCATTCCCAAGACAATATCAAATGGGAGGCTGTCTTCTACGAGGAGAGTCAGGGAGTGGAGGACCTTCTCCACTTTCCCATCCTTCTCTAGGCGGAAATATGCCTGGACTCCCTCTACATACTCCTCTACGACCATAGTACGATTGTCTGCGAGGATACTTACTATGGGGTCTGTCAATTTCTGGACTTTAAGTCCCAGCTTCAACTTTTGCAGCGCTTTCTTACTAATATAGCTGCGGGTGGCCCCTGAGTCTACTAGGGCCCCTACTCTACTTCTAAAAATYTATGTATCTAGCAATATAAGCTGCCCTTTATTCTCCTTCTTCATCTTGGCCCAGGCGGGCATCCTCTCTTTCAACTCTTTGGCCACGCCTGTGAGGGAGGTGTCTAGCGAAACTCTAACACAAGCAGTTTCGGGACAGCTGTCTAGACACCGRCCTGCAACCTCTGCCATAKGCACATGTGGTGTGGGAGTCTCCTGCCGGCTAGCGCTATGTTCCCCACATGGCCTARTGGTAGGGGCAGTTGCTACCCCTACCGGCGGCTGCCTTTTGGCCCTTGGGCAGCCGTTCGGGTCTCTCTATACTTGGGACAATATTTGATGATGTGGCCCGGGTCACCACAGAAAATGCACTGGCCCCGGTCCAATCGTTGTTGTCATAAAGCCTGGTCCAGACCCAAAGATTCCCAAGGCCTACCCTGCGGTAGCCCTGGGTGCCATCCTCCTACCCTATAGGGAGACCTATTCCTAGGACGGTTTTGCGGGGGACCTTGACCCCTGCCTCCCACTTGGCGGTTTCCTCCTCTGCCGCCAACCCCCTGATCGCCCTGAAATCGGTTCCCTGAGGCCCGGCCCCCTTGGCCCTGGCCTCTTCCTCCTTGCGGCCTCCCTTCAGCCGCGACAGCAGCGTAGGATCTCCCCTGGCCCACACCGTTGTCCGCCTCCTCTAGCCCCCACTCAATCTGATCGTAGGGAATCTCATCCACA